TTTGTTTTCGATAATGGTTTGAATTTGCCACCCTCAAGTGGGCTTAAAGATGCGGATTTGCCACCAAATATAGTGGGCTTAAAACATGATTTTACCACGACAAAGTGGGCTTAAAAATCACATTCATTGAATTATTCTAATTCAAAAAACAAGCCTTCATCCACAGGCATTCATGCAGTTAAGCATTTAAGCACGTAGCCTCATGGCAAGCATGCAAAACATGGCATCATGGCAATCACACTTATCCAAGTATGCTAAAGCATAAAACTCACCGAGTACTCCAAGCCAAAACAGAAACTAGTTAGAAAAATGCATGATCCTAACTATACAAGATATCTAATGCAACACATGCAATATGCAATTAATAGGCTTGGCTACTAATATGGCATATGAATCAATTTGAACAACATGCGTTTAAACACGTATTCAAAGAAGTATTGAAAGTGCAATGCAGTTTGAATGATGTGCTGAGCCCCGGTGCATGCAAGACAAATGAATGGATGCAAACATGCAAGCATAAGATATGCTAATTGAAAATGTCCTTAATCTAACCATCAAAAGCGATTAAATAAAAGAGAGAAAGACGTGGGGTTGGAAGACATACACACACGCACGCACACTTATTACAACATTACGCCCTCGCGAAGGAGGGTCCAAATGAATAAGCTAACTAGCTACGCTAATTAAACTAACTATTACAATACTTGAAATGAATTAACTAACTATTCTAAGCTAATTAATTATTACAAACCGGAATCGAATAAGTAGTTACACTTACTAATTAATTACAACACTTGAATTAACTAGTTATTCTAAGCTAACTAAAGCGATTAAACTAATTAATTAGCTACCACTATTATTAAAACAAAGCAATTAAATGGCCTCGGGAAGTGAGGGATGCATGCATGCTCAGTTTCTCCACCCGAAAATGCCACCGCCTTGCCACTGAACGCCTCTGTTTGCACATTTGAACACTGAAAAGGCTGCCCACTTCCAGAACACCTCTGCTCCTCCTTTCCATCACACTGAGCAATTTTCTTCATTGATGGCCGGTTGGCTACCAATGGTGGCCGTCGGCTAGCATTGGTGGTCTGTCGGCCACTGTTGGTGGCCGGTCGGCTACCCCTATCCAGAACTTCCTTTTTGCTGCAACAGAGAGCAAACAGAGGCAAAACAGTGTATTCTCAAGAGTTGTTTGTACTGTTACTCTCCTTATCATCACATAAGTTCAAAGGAGTGTAACTCTTAGCCCTCAAACCATTAACCAAGCATTTTCCATGCATGATGGCTAAGGAACCAAGCTTGTACAAGCTTAATGAGTGCAAAACAAGACAAAAACAACCACCACCGTATCATGCATGATCAAGGGCGATGGTGACCAAAGAAAGTGGCACATTTCATCACTTTGAATATGAAATGTCCCATTTTCCTCGTGTTCGAATTAACGTCCGATTTGAACGTATGTAATGCAACATGAAAGATGCTTATCTTGCCTCTTTTAATTGTCATGTTTTGTTTACTCATTTTAGTTACCGATCCATTCTTTAATCGATTAAGTCCAAAAGTGAGTGTCCTCTAATGGAAAGATGGCTCAAACCACAAGTTACTTTAGGCATGAAAGAGGCATTACACTGTTGGTAATGAACCCCCTAGGGGATTATTAAACCATTAGGTGCAACACCTCAATTCCACACTTAGGCAAACAAGTAGTTTGAAACCACTTTCAAAGCAAACAAAAGAGTGAAGAATAGAGGGAGGTTGTAGAGATTAAAGTGCTGAAATGGAGTGCAAAACAACACTAAAACATGCTTTCAACTCAAAAGAATGATGATCAAAGCATTAAAACATCAAGCTAGTGAAGAAAATAACACTACAACCATGCAATACAAGCCTTAACTGAATTAACCAGCCCAAAACAGAGCCAAAATAGGTCAAAACAGAGGCAAAAACATGCTGGACTTAAGCTAAAGTAAGTTAGAGAAAAATATGCTAACTCATGAAGCTAACTAGGCATGCAAACAAGATACAAGGAGGGAAGGCTAACCCTTCCAATTTTGGACTTCAAAAGTTGATTTTTATCATTGAAAAATCTCTGAGATTTAGTGGTGAAAAGGCCCAAAAAAGTTGTTTTGAAAGTGAGGGAAAATAGCACAAAAAACTTAACAAGCTAAGGAGCCAAGAGGGTAAACAACCCCTTAACTCAAAAAGGCTCAAACCACCATTTTTAGGTCACAAAAATAGAGGTTTTTCCACTTTAAAAATAGCCTTAAAACAGTTGAAAAAGATAGGAAAATAAGTATGCACAATAAGTTTAAATGAGGTAAGTGCTTTACCTTTGAAGCAAAGCACAATTTAGGCACAAATCCAAGCTTAAACCTCCTTCCAAAGCTCAAACAAGACTCCAAGGGACCTCAGCTCAATGGTGGTCAAGTTTGGTTAAGGGTTGGTGTGCAAAAGTTTGGAGGAACTAGGCAATCAAGCACAAAATATCAAGTGAGAGAGAGAAAGCTAGAGAGAGATATTTTTGGTTCAAAATCTTCTAACCATCAAAAATGGGGGAGGACACCCCCTATATATAGAAAATCAAGTCTTGAGCTTGTATACATCCTACCATACACGTGTATGAAGATGCAGTTCAGTGAGCAACAGTTGGCACAACTAGCAAACAAATATCTGGAAAAAGGGACCAATGGCCGTCGACCACCACTGGTAGCCGACAAGCACAAGCCATGGCCGATAGATCCAAGGGCTGGCTGACAGGTCACCCTCTCTTCTAGGCTAGAGGCAACAAGCTCTTCGTCCAAAACCAAGCACAAAACAAATAAGGTTTAGAGGCTCAAAGACAAAGCGTTCCGCCGAAGACTTCGGCTGCTCAAAATGAACACAATCAAGCACAATCATCGAGTGCACAAACGATGACTTCCAAATCTTGAGGACAGTAAAAAACGGGATATCTACACGAGGTACCTTCAATTTCTATTGTCGGAGTTCATTACGAAGTAATCAGTGAACGTTTCCCACAGACGGCGTCAGTTATGCGGGGGTGATTTTTGCACTATGAAGAAGGGTTAAACTTCATGGAAGAATAACATGCTTTGAGAAATGAAGATCTGCACTAAGTAACAAACGGTGAGGCTGCTCGATCGAGGTTTGGTCGGAAACCCCTCTGATGGTAAAGTCAGGGACTAAATGAGAGGAAGAAGAGAGAATACAAAGAGTGCATATGTTAAGTGTGTGGATTTTGGATCCCTTGAGGATGAATAGTGTTCTCCTTTAGGAGAAGGTTGCTTGTCCTCTAAGACCTTCTCTTTTAGCCATTTGTGCCATTTGTCCTGTTCGTGGTCATCTCCCATTGGAGGAGGACGACCACTTCGCCTAACACTCAGGTGCAGGTCTGTCTTGTTTGTCTCATTAGTGATCGTCTCTCATTGTAGGAGGACAACCACTCCGCTTCACACTCAGGTGTAGGTTTGTCATGTGTGCACCTTGTCCCTCTACGCCTCCATGTCTCCATGTTCTATTCAAACAGAGGGAGAGGAGTAGAGTTGTTTGTCTCTTGTGAGCTCCAAGAAAGATATTTGGCGAATTAGCCTTCTCTAAGTTGGCTCACTTCGGAGTGGTTGCCTACCCAACCAGGAGGTCCAACATGTTGCTCGGCCTACTTCGGAGTGGTTGCCTTCCCAATCAGGAGGTCCAACATGTTGCTCGGTCCGTTTCGGAGTGGACCTGACACAAAGCCGCTACCTTGATTGCCTTGCTTTGGAGCAAGTCTTTGGTCATTGGGCTGAGTCCTTAGCTCCCCTACTGGTGCAGGTCCAGCGTTAGGCCGAACACCAAGACTTAGTTAATTTTTATCCCACTTCAGGTATATTTTTAATTTGCCCAATTTTTATTTTTATTTATTATTATGCAGACAAGGATCATTTTCATCTACTTAAATTTATATCAAACTTAAATCTAAATAAATTTTTTTAATATACCCTTCACTCATGGACTCAATTTATGCCAAATAAAATTTTACTCAAATGTTTTGCTTTAAATCAAAGAGACACAAATGTTTAACTAAAATTTTCAAGACTTTTTTGTAACTCAAATTTATAAATTTCAATAAAATTTTGAGTTAAGCTACAGATTGCCTAATGTGAGTATTTATTATTATTATTATTTTTTTTTTAAATTTTTAACATCAAGTGTTATCTGGTCTATTTATGAATAAGAACATGGAATTATTTTTTGAAACAACAGAATATAGTAAAAAAATAAAATAAATGGAAAATGTTTGAGACTCTTAATTTTTTAATTTGATCCACAATAATATAACATGATAGGTGTCAACTTTTAGTTTATCACACACGTAAAACTAACTATATAATGCCTAACTTCCTTAGCAAATCATTGCCTATGAGTTTGTTAATCTAAATTGTGAATATTTAATATTTCGTCAAAATGATTACATAACTGTGTAATTGAATGCACATGCTTAAATTATTGACTCAGTTGAAATTTTTTGTTTGAGTAATGGTGCTATTTGATAATATGTTTATTAATTTTAAGTAAAATAGAAAATAAAAATATATTTGGTACACAAGTTTTTTTAAAAATATGTTTTGAAAATAAGTGAAAAATAGATGATCACGAGAAGTGGTTGTTGACAATTAGAAATGGTGGCCGGAAGTAGTTGTCAACCATGGGAGGTGGTTGGTGGTAACCAAAGATGATTGTTGGCCTTAGAAAGTGGTGAACAAAAGTAATTGTCGATAGTAAAAAGTGATGGTTGATTGGCTACCTAAGGTGATAGCTGAAAGTAGTTTTCAATAAGAGATGGTAGCCAAATGTGGTTACCGACGGTATGAGGTGGTTGGTTACAGAGAGAGGTGATAGTTAGAAGTGGTTGGCGGTGGAGGTTATCGGCAATGATAGCCTGTAGAGATGAGAAATGACTGGTCATTGGAAAAAAGTGAGAGATATAAGAAGAAATTTTAAAAATAAATAAATAAAAATGAAATAAGTGAAATTAATTTTTTTTTTTTTTCATTTCTAATATTTTTTACCAAATCACTCTTATCAAAACAGAGTGTTCTTTCTCTTCTCTCCCACCGCCACCGCACACAATCACCAGCACTGGCCACCATTATTAGCAGATGCCCACTTCCAAACTGCCAACAAACTTCCACAAGCTTCTCGTCAAAGACACCATCAAGCTCCTAAAAACATCAGCTGATACTAAGAACTTGAAGCTCGGCAAAACAATTCATGCCCATTTGATCATATCTAATCAAACCACTCCATACCATGTAATCCAAACCAATTCCTTGATCAATCTCTACTCAAAATGTGGCCAAATTGAAATTGCTCGCCGAATGTTCGATAGAATGCTCGAACGAAATGTAGTTTCCTGGAGTGCTTTGATGGCGGGTTATTTGCATTCTGGGTTTCCTCTTGAAGTTTTTGGGTTGTTCAAAGCTCTGGCATTGGAGGAAGTTTTGCGCCCAAATGAGTACATATTAGCGACAGTTCTTTCTTGTTGTTCTGATACTGTATTGTTCATAGAGGGCAGGCAGTGTCATGGGTATGTGTTGAAGTCTGGGTTGGTGTTTCATCAGTATGTGAAGAATTCACTTACTTACATGTATTCGATGTGTTCGGATGTGGAAGGGGCTATGAGTGTTTTGAATTCAGTGCCTGGATCAGATGTTTTTACTTATAACTCCATTATAAATGGACTTGTAGAACATGGGTACTTGAGTGAAGCATTAGAAGTTCTTGGTAGGATGGCGGGTGAGTTTGTGATTTGGGACATTGTCACTTATGTTAATGTTTTTGGCCTTTGCACGGGTCTTAAAGATTTGAAACTGGGTTTGCAAGTTCACAACCGGATGTTGAAGAGCAATGTTGAGTTTGATGAGTTTGTCAGTAGTGCAATTATCGACATGTATGGAAAATGCGGTGAGATTTCAATGGCAAGGAGTGTTTTTGATGCAATGCAAACTCGAAATGTGGTCTCATGGACAGCAATGTTGGCTGCTTGCTTACAAAACGGGTGCTTTGAGGAAGCTTTGAAACTATTCTTTCACATGGAATTTGAGGGTGTTATGCCAAATGAATATACCTTTGCTGTATTGCTGAACTCTTGTGCTGGTTTGTCTGCACTTGGACATGGGAATTCAGTACATGCACGTGCTGTGAAGTCAGGATTTAAGAACCATGTTATTGTGGGGAACGCTTTGATCAATATGTATGCAAAGGGTGGGAACATTGAATCTGGAAGTAAAGTTTTCACTGATATGGTATATCGGGACTCTATTACTTGGAATGCGATGATATCAGGATACTCCCATCATGGGCTTGGTAAGGAAGCTTTGATTGTGTTCCAGGACATGCTAGCTGCGGAAGAGCATCCTAACTATGTAACTTTTGTTGGAGTTCTCTCTGCTTGTGCACAGCTAGGTTGGGTCCGGGAAGGGCTCTACTATTTACACCAATTAATGAATCAACTAGATATTGAGCCAGGATTGGAGCACTATACCTGTATTGTTGGACTTCTTTGTAGAGCTGGACAACTTGATCAAGCTGAAAATTTCATGAGGTCTACACCAGTCAAATGGGATGTTGTCGCCTGGCGTACTTTGCCACCCTATATGGGAATATCATTTTCAGGTACAGGTAGCATGCCACCTCCAAGGATATAGCTTGGGAGGCTAGAGGCGGACACACTTTTGTCGTTTTACCTTTTGATGTATTACATGTAAATGCAAGCCAAGGGCTTAATGTGTAAACGAGTTAGTACTCTTTTGTTGTAACCAAGTGTTAACTTGGAAAGCTGTAAGCCCATAGGGCATTTGCTTTTGTTGTTAACATGTAATACTTATGTAATGGAATTCTGATAAATGGAAGAAAGTGGAACTTTTACATATCAATGCATGTCTTATTTGATGGGTTTAATGTTATTATTTTGAGGGCGTTACACGATTGTTGTATTATTATAATAAGTTATTTTTAAAATTTAAATTTCTATTAGTGCTTAATAAAAATAAATTAAAAAATAATTATATACAATTTATTATTGACGCGCATGCAGAGTTTCATTTATGAAAATTTTGGGCTAGTAAGTTCAATTTTAAATCTTTTTGACTTAAAAGGATATTGATCTGTCTAAAAGAATACCTATTTGTCCAAATGTTACTTATCTATCCAAATAATGTACATGTGTCACTTATCTAACTATCTGTCTAAATGTCATCTATATATATACATACGTGTTATCTATCTATTCACTTATATGTCCAACTCATTGTCACTAGTTGTCGATTGTTGTCTGTCGACCACTAGCAACTTTTCAACCAATTTTTTGATGACTTTTCAAATGCCAACAACTTTTTCGGTCACTTTTTAAACTCGTATGTTTATCACTAAAAAAGATTAAATTTTGAACCAAATAACATATGACACCATAGTAATAAAATTTTCACTAATTAACTTTATTAATTATTATATCCTTATATCTGTAAAAGATCAAGGGAAATTTTCAATTTAGTTGAAATTTTAAAAATAATTACAGATTAGTGATAAAATTTATAACTATTAATTATAGGTAAGAGAGAGAAAGTGATTGATTGATAGGTAAGAGAGAGAATGTGATTTTGAAAATTATTTTGGAAAATTTACAAACCGAACAAATTTTTTAGAAATTTTTTCCCAAAATTACTCTACAAATCCAAACCAAACATACCCTATATCTTTCATCTTGTTTGGTTTGGATTTCCAATTCATTTTTTTTTTGGTATTTTTAATGATTTTTAAAAATATTTTAATAATTTTGATGAGACCCACGTAATCGTAAGTATACTAAAAGTTTAAAATTTGTACAAAAATCTTTAAAAATTCATTGAATACAACAAAATATGATTCTTATTATTATTTTTGTATTTGGTGAATTTTATTTTTTTTTTTACAAATATTATACTCTTTTAAGTGTATTTATGTATTTAAAAAATAAAAAAATTACGTAAAATATTTAAATAATTCATTAAAAAACAAAAGAAAAACAAAAACAAAACAATTTAATTTTCTGAAGAAAAAAAAAAAAAACTTGAGATCCCAAGAAAACTATCAAACTTTTTACTAAGAGTTATGTTAGAGATCCAAAATAATCTACCAAATTTTCTATTAAACCTCTCACATGGGTGTAAGACCCACACCAATGTGAGAGGTTTGGTAGAAAATTTGATAGATTGTTTAGGGTCTATAACATTTTCCTTTTACTAAACACCCACATAAGCAGTGACTCACATAAGAGTGGATCCCACACTATATAAGTGTTTGATAACAAAGAGTATTGTTATATCTATCGAATTTAGGTTCATCTAAATTATCTGAATTTGTACATGTTAGTCGTTTGACTGACTCTCTGATAGGATGTCAATTATCTAAGCGGATGTTGATTGACACATCGATAAATAACAATGATAGTTTAATTGATAAGAGTGTCACTCCCCAAGTTTTATTACTCGAAAATATAACCAAAACCCTCCATACAATCCATTTTATTAACTACAATTAATATTACAAATATTTATTACATGGTGTAACAATAATATTATTCTCTCTCACATAAATACAACAATAATACATGTCAAGATTCACATTGAATTACACATGAATCTTTCATTACAACAAGCATCTCTCATTTACAGTATGATAATATAAGAGAAAATAAATTCTTCAATCCTCAATCCGGCATTCCAAACTTCGTCCCTGAAAAATTGTTAAAATAATTGGGATGAACACGAAGCCAGTAGGAATCTTCCCTGATTCTAAACAATAAGGTCCCTAGACACATGTGGTCATGAAATGCTAAAGAGTGATATAAACATAAATTCATTTTGCTCTTTTCATACTCAAATTACAATATATATATATATATATATAGGTAATACCATTTTCATAAAGAAATTCATGAAAACTTTTCAAAGAAAAACCCTTTCATTTGTTTCTGTATCAGTCAAATATATTTTTCAAAAAAGGTCTTTTCAAGAATCCCTTGCTAACTTTACCTAGAATTCTAAACATAAAACGAGTCATTCTCCTACAGGTCATAACACATCATAACCCATTATAATCCACACAAAAAGAATCCATACAATTCCATATATTCGACTTTACCCAATCAAGATTATTCACTTTACATTATCTTAAACACATGTACAAATCTCATTATAATTATTCCACACATTCCAAATTGTACACCGGCTCCATTACCAAGCCTTAACATCATATCGCACACTTTACCGGTCACAAGCCGGAAGGAATGCAGAACCTCACGCTTTATCGATCACAAGCCGGAAGGAACGTAGAATCACAACATACCACACGCTTTACCGGGCGCTACTTTGGAAGGAAGGCGGAACCTATTTCAAGCGCTACGCTTTGCTGGCTCAAATACGATGGGAAACGGACCCCAAGGTGTAGACTCGACTTTCTTCGCGTCCCCTTTCAGAGAGCTCGAATTGGTCTTACAATTCGGGCTCCTGTCATGGTTCTGAATCTAATTTCACAAAGTGCAATGTGAGACTAATAAACACCAAAGAGTCCAAATCCGGCAAATCGTTTTGAAAAATCAATTTTGAATCAAAAAGTGCCAAACATGGATTGCTTTGCTAGATTACAGAGTTGTCACCTAAATATTTTATTTTTGAAAAATTTAGGAAACCTTGACTCGTGCCAAAGACCACGTGTTCGTCATCACCAAAGTTGCCTCGGCTCGGGAACTTGGGTACGAGAGGGGAAGGTCATGACCTGAGCACCCCCGCTCGCCCGATCAAAGGATCGGCCTCTACTAAGCATGATATGTTATTTTATAAACACATGTCTTCTTATCCGGTTATTAGCTAACTTTACTATGTGATGCCCACGCATATAAGTATAGACTAAAATTGTAGGATTTGGAACGAAACAACTCATGTTTGTTTTCGAAAATGGTTTGAAGATGCCATTCTCAAGTGGGCTAAAATGCGGATTTGCCACCTCAAGTGGACTTAAAACATGATTTGCCAATTCGCAAAGTGGGCTTAAAACTCACATTTGTCGAATTGTCCTAATTCAAGCAACGAAGCCTTCATCCACAGGCATTCATGCAATTTAGCATTTAAGCACATAGCCTCATGGCAAGCATGCTAAACATGGCAACACTCACACTCATGCAAGTATGCTGTAGCGTAAAACTTACAGTGTACTCCAAGCCAAAACAAAAGCTAGTTAGAAATATGCATGATTCGAACTATGTTAAGATGCCTAATGCAACACATGCAATAATGCAATTAATAGGCCCGGCTACTAATATGGCATATGATACAATTTGATAACACGCTTTGAAACACGTATTTAAATAAGTATTGAATTGCGATGCAGTTTGAATGATGCGCCGAGCCTCAGTGCATGCAAGACAAATGAATGATGCAAACATGCAAGCATAAGGTATGCTAATTGAAACGTGCCCTAATCTAACCATTAAAAGCAGATAAATAAAAGGGAGAAAGGCGTGGGGTTGGAAGACATGCACACACACACACGTACACTTATTACAACAATACGCCCTCGTGAAGGAGGGTCCGAATAAATAAGCTAAGCTACACTAAGCTAAGCTAATTATTACAAACCAACTAATTAACTATTCTAGCTAATTAATTATTACAACATAATTGAATAACTAGCTATGCTAAGCTAATTAAAGATATTACAACACTTTGAATCGAATAATTAGCTACACTAACTAATTGAAACAATGGCCTCGTGGGCGAGAGACGCGTGCATGCTCAGTTGGCTTCTTTTCGAAAATCCACCGCCTTGCCTTTGGATGCCTTTGTTTGCATTTTGCTTTGAACTCTGAACATTGCACCAAGTTCCAGACTGCTTATGCTCCAACATAGGAACATTTTGAACAACTTTTCCACTGATGGCCGGTCGGCTACCATATGTGGCTGTCGGCCACTAATATTGGCCGGTCGGCCACTGTTTGTGGCTGTTGGCCACCCTTTCCCTGGAATTCTCCCTTTTGCTGCAATGGAGGGCAAACAAAGGCAAAACAGTGTATTCTCAAACAATATATGTACTATTACCCTCCTTATCATTTCTCAAGCTCAAAGGAGTGTAATTCTTAGCTCTCAAGCCACCAACCAAGCATTTTCAATGCATGATGGCCAAAGAGTCAAGCTTGTACAAGTCAATGAACGCACTAATAAGACTCAAAGGACCACCACCCTATCACGCATGATCAAGGGTGGCGGTGACCAAGAAACATGACACGGTTCATCAATTTGAGTATGAAACGTCCCACATTTCTTGTGTTTGGATTAACGTCCAATTCAAACACATATAATGCAACATAACATGCTTATCTTGTCCTTGTTTTACTTGTCATGTTTTGTTTACACATTTTACATTACCGATTAGTCCTTTAACCGATTAAGTCTAATGTGAGAGTCCTCTAATTGGAAAGATGGCCTAAACCACAAGAGCTTTGAGCATGAAAGAGGCCTCATGCTATTGGTTAGTAGAAACCCTCAAGAGAGGATTAAAACCATTAGGCATGAGAGCCTCAAGTTCACACTCAAGCCAACAAGGGGCTCAAGACCACTTTCAAAGCAAATTAAAAAGTGAAGAATGGAGGGATGTTGCAGATTTTTTCAGTGTTGAAACGGCATGAAAAATGGCACTAGATCATGCATGCAACACATGCACAACATGTTCAAAATCCAAAAGCATTAAACTAGCGAAGAGCATTACACTAGAGGCATGCAATATCAAGCTTAAAAGACTAAACCAGCTCAAAACATAGGTAAAACATGCTGAAAAAATGGCTAAAACATGTTGAGATTGAAGCATAAAAAGCTAGAAAAACATGCTCGTTTGTTAGCTTGCAAACAGGACTCAAGGCACAACTCTCAAAAGCAATGAAAGAGTGAAATAAGTGAGAGTGTGACAGAACTATATGAACTGAAATTACATGTTAAATGATGCTATAGCATGCAATCATCCCAAACAAAACATGTTAGAGGCCTTAAAACACAAAGCTAGTGAAGGCATTTGCACTATAGCTATACAAAACATGGCTTATATGATCAAAGCAGCCCAAAACAGAGTTAGAGTAGGCCAAATTAGAGCCTAAAACATGCTAAGATCAAGTCACAAAAAGGTAGAAAAATATGCTCACATGTTAGGCTATCTACACTTGCAAACTAGACATAAGGAGGAGAGGCCACCCCCTCCTATTTTGGACCTCAAAACATACTTTTTACCATTGAAATAGCTCTGAATTTCAGTGGTTAAAAGGCCCAAAAAGTTTGATGAAAAGGTGGTAAGAAATAGCACAAAAGGCTTCACAAGCCAAAGAGAAAAAAGAGGGGACCACCCCCCTAACTCAACAAGACTCAAACCACCATTTAAAAACCTTAAAAATAGAGTTTTTTATGGTTGAAAAACCAGGTCAAAATAGTGTAAAAAGATGGCTAAGCAATCAATTAAAACAAAGCTTAAAAGAGGGAAGCTTTTATACCTTTGAAGCACAGCAACAAGCAGCAACAAATCTGAGCTAAAACTAGCCTTAAGAACTCAAACTGGGCCTCCAAGAACCTCAGCTCTAAGATGAAGGTGTTTGGTCAATGGTCTTAGTCCAAATGTATACAGAATTCTCACTTTCAAGCACAAAATAGGAAGAGAGAGAGAGAGAGGATTCTAAAGAGAGAGAGAGGAAATTTGTTCACAAATTTTTGTAACCTCTCAAATGAGAGAAAGACCCCCCATTATATAGAAAAACAAGCCAAATGCTTGCCTTCATCCCTCCATACACGTGTATGGAGATGAGCATCGATGAACAATAGCTAACACAGCTGGCAAAGAAATATCTGAAAAAGGAGAAAAATGGCCGTCGGCCATCATTAGTGGTTGACTAGCCATCAATGTAGCCGACCAGCCATCAACAGAGCCGGGCCACCACTGGTGGCCGACAGGCACAAGGCATGGCCGGTAGGCTAGGGAGATGGCCGACAGGTCACCCTCTCCTCTAAAAGCAAAGCAACAAGCTCTTGGCCCACAACTAAGCACAAAACAGACAAGATTAGAGGCTCCAAGGCAAGGCACTCGGCCGAGACCTTAAGGGACTCAAAACGAACACGAGCAAGCACAATCATCAGGTGTTCGAATGATGACGTCCAAGTCTTGAGGACGGTCAAAAATAGGGTGTCTACAGTTGCCCCTCTTTGACAGAACTCGGAAGTCATGAAATGACGGGAGTGAATGTCAAAGCCCAGAGACGACCTAGTTTTGACAAGGCCGAAGAGTTAGACAAATAAACAATCAAAACAAAGAGCGGCTGCACCCGCAGGCTGCCTACGTATACCTTTGCAAGGAATGAAACCAGCGTAGTTCGGGGGCAAGATGCAAACGACATGCACGATACAAGAACATAACTTATGATCATGCAATGTGAGCTGTAATGAAACATCTAGATGTAAATGTTACGCAAAGAAATGCCACAACAAACTCATACATAAGCAAGTTAACACGAACCAAACCACATTTCATGCAGAAAGGATGTAAGAAAATTATGCAAGCTTAACTATGCATCACGCAGGAAAGATAAAGAGCAACAACCGTCAGGCACACCCGAGGTGGCAAACAAAATTCCAACACGTGGCACGTGCAAGGAAAGAAGTGGTGCGAACCTACGGACACACCCTAAGGTTCCAAGCCACAGAGAATAATAATAACAGGTGAAACACATCCAACTATTATGCAATCAAAGAAAAGAGCGGTATAAGCATCGGAACCTATCCAGATACACTTAACCAAAGCGTCCTAATGCGCCATGCGTGAGAGGGAAAAGAGAGCGGTATAAACACCGGAGGGTGGTATAAACATCAGAGCGTGTTCCAATGTTTCTAACCAAAATAGAGTGGTATAAGCGTTGAAAAAGGTTCCAAACGCTTCTAACCGGAAGGGTGGTATAAACACCGAGCGTACTCGAGTGTTTCTAACCAAAGCAAGGTATAAACATCGGGCACACAACCCAATGTTTCTAACCAAAGGAGTGGTATAAACACCAAGCATACCTGAGTATTTCTAACCAAGGCAAGGTATAAACATCGAGCACACAACCCAAGTGTTTCTAACCAACGTGGTAGTATAAGCGTCGGACACACAACCCAAACGCTTCTAACCAAAGGGGTGGTATAAGCGTCGAACACACATCCCAAATGCTTCTAACCAAAGGGGTGGTATAAACATCGGGCACACAACCCAATGCTTTTAACGAACGAGGAGTGGTATAAGCGTCGGACACACGTCTCAAATGCTTCTAACCAAAGGGATGGTATAAACATTGGGCACATAACCCAATGCTTCTAACCAACGAGGAGTGGTATAAGCGTCGGACACACGTCCCAAACGCTTCTAACCAAAGGGGTGGTATAAACATCGGGCACACAACCCAATGCTTCTAACCAACGGGGTATCAGTGTAAATACCGGGCGTACCCGAATGTTTCTAACCAACAAAGGAGTGGTGTAAACACCGGGCGTACCCGAGTGTTTCTAACCAACAAAGGAGTGGTGTAAGCACTAGGCGTACCCAAATGCTTTTAACCAGAACAAGATGTTTAAAGGACATGAATGATCTTACCCGGAATTCCTCTAAATGAACCGTACATACAATATCGTCTGGTTGCACCAGCTTTGAATGAACCATACATACAATATCATGCCTGCACAAGAAAGAAACTTAACATATACAACAAGATAGGAATGCATGCTCCATGCAAGATTGACAGCATGTTCTATGCGAATGTGAGAAACGCATATTCGATGCAACAAAAGTTGTGGCATGCTCCGTGCAACACCAAATGCATGTTCAATGCAACAGGTACGGACAATTTCTATGTGAATGTAAGGGCTTGCACAATGCAATAAAGCGCGACATGCATATTCTATGCAACCATGAGAACATGTGTAGCACAATGCAATGCAACATACACATTTTGTGTACAATAATCAATGCACATTCAATAAAACATCAATAACATGTTCGATACAAAACGCCGAATAAAAAAAATGCGCGTCTTAACAAGACCGATTCAGTTGTAACCTCCGATTTACCTCTCAGAGGAGTGGTAACAAGTTAAAAGGATACACCTCTCACGTGCTGAGCATCACACACTGAAAACACAGTCCGGAGCTTCCGCAGAGGCCACTTAAGCTTTAAAATGTACTTCCCTTGCACTTTCTTGAGGGATCAAGGCACAAACCAGCAAAACAACATCCAAGGAGAGCATCAGAGGCCTGCCGGCCACTCTGGGAAACCACCAGCCACCCATCCGCCACAAAATAATGCCATCGGCCACAAATGTGGTCGGTCGGCCACCGATGACAGATTCGGGGCGATTTTGGCATTTCACCATGGGTCTTTAAATATAGGGTTCCAAACCCTATTTCTTCATTTCTCCCTTGCCGAAAAACATTCCCCTTTTGCTCTAGACCATTTTCCCCTTCCGATCTGAGCTTCAAACATGTTTTCCAATGCCCCAAAAACATCTGATTCGCTAAACCCTCATAGTTTACAGCACTTTGAACCGATTGAAAGTCGTGTTAGGTGTCTCCTTGTTGATTTCCATCACTTGGGGTTTGTTTCCCCTATGTTACCCTTGATTTCAGTGCCCTCTCCCGAGCCCTGACCTTTCTTCCATTTTTCCTCCATCTGAGTTAACTTTTGGTTGACTTTTGGCATTCCCGCCCATTTTCCACATTTTTGACCATTCTCTCATCCTTCCTCGAGATGGCGGACGACATCCCACACGACGGAGCTCCTCCAGGGATGGAGATGGATCCAAAGTTCGAGTCCTTGCCGCTCAGTATTTGACCATTCGACCTGGCGACGTACCATCCCAAGGTACAAGTGCTACCTCCTGATAACATCTGCCAATTTAGAGGGTTTGCGCAAGGTGCACCGGAGGACCTCCTGCTACGCGAGCCGGAGTCTCATCTATCCCATGGCGCCTCTGAGGTATACACTTTCTCTTTATTTTCCGCAATGTAGATCACATTTCTTGTATAGCTCACACTGCTTTTCATCTGTTCATCCCAAAGACATTTTTGCACTGTATCTCTTATACTGCCTTGCATCTGTTGTCCTAAACATACCCTTGCACTGTATTTCTTACACTGCCTTGCATCTGTTTGTCTTGCCTATAGGTGGATTCACATGCCTTTCGTGGATACGAGACCACCTCCGCGAGGAAGTGGTATATGGAGCTTCCTGACGCCGTCTGTCACATCATCGATGAGGCTGGCTTCGGCGCATTTTGCATGGGGCTCTCATGTCTCATTGCGAGCTGGCCTCTACTGGGCGCCATAGTAGAGAGGTGGTGGGATACCACTGATTCCCTCCACTTCTCTACAGCAGGGGAGATGACGATGACTTCCTTTGACTTCTCTATGCTCATCGGCATAGCAGTAGGGGGTCATCCGATTCCTTACGACACCGACATAGGCAAGTGAGAGGCCGCTCAGATCTACCTGCTAAGGATTCGCCCACCCATCTCCCGATCAGGGATGGTGCGATATACATGGTTCGCTGATCATTTCAGAGGGACGACACCGACGACCCATGAGAAGACCGAGTACTACGCCCGATGCTTCCTCATGTTCTTGTTTGGCACTACTCTGTTCGCCGACTGGGCTAACACCGTCGGGCTCTACCTTATGAGTGCTCTGGTGGACTTGTCTCGTGTCCTATTCTACGACTGGGGTGGCGTAGGCTTGGCCACATTATACGGGTATATGAGCTTCACCTCCCGCCGGAGCGGGCATTTGCTAGGAGGCTATTAGAGGGCCTGGGAGGTACGCCCTACCCTTCTGCTTTACATTTCTGCTTCGTATTTCCTGTATACTATACACACTATACACTGCACTGCACACAATCTGCTTTCTGTTTTACATTATTTGTTCACTGCACACATTGTCTACTTTCTTCTTTATTTGTATTCATCTGATATATACTCATTGTTATCCTTCCGCCTTCTGCAGCTATGGGTATATGCCTATTTTTCAAGGATTGCCCCAGAGCTAGAGGTAGAGATACCACCTATGGTGCCGTACTCACACAGATACGATGGGAGATGCTAGCGGAGGCCTCGAGAGTCATTCTCATTCTTCCGTCGATTCTTCGACACCGTGACCGCAGCAGAGGTAACTCAAACCTTATAGTCATTTCAGTTTTACTTCATATTGCATCTCTAATGGCAGCTAACAGTCTGTATATTCACTATCTACAAATCACCTGGCAGCCGTGGGCGGTGATGCCTGACGGGGTCAGAGATCAGTTTGCTGGCGCACAAGAGGCTTCTCGATTCCGGATCTTGCTCGAGGGCCCGGTCTGTCGAGCATGGTTCTCAGGGGAGCGATTCTTGTGACAGAGCCTCGACTTGCTTGAGCCAGTAGTTCCGATGCCACCTCCCACATACATGAGGGTCACCGAGAGGTACACCATGCAGGAGATGATCGACTTCACCAAAGGTTGGGATGCCGACTTCTTCTGGCTTGAGGGCGATTACACTGCCTTCATTCAAACATACCTCATGCCACTTCTGACTGGGGCCCGTGGAGGTGAAAGATCCAGAGCTCCAGCTGCAGGAGAGAGAGCGGGTGGATCCAGGGCATCCTGGGCTCATGATAGGAGAGGTTCTCAGACGAGACAGAGGGCGGGGTGGCCAGAGCTGCCTGCCACACTGACCTGCTGGGGATCCAGAGGGGAGACTTATCAGATTCCCATTTAGCCCGCACCAACTGGTCACGAGCTTGTCGGAGTTCGGGGCCTAACCCCGGTATATACTGTACTTTACACTTTGCACATTCAATTCATTTCAGTTATGCTTTGTAGACCACTAATCATTTCAACACTTTTGCAGGCTTCCATAGAGTACACTGGACAGGCTCTTGAGCTGGCAGCTTCTGTAATGGAGATGGTTCAGACTAGCCTAAACCTTCTTAGTCTGTACAGGATTCCGGTAAGTTGCCTTCAGTTTGCACTTCATATTATGAAAATTTTCTGCTAATTCATTAGCATTTCAACTGCAATTTGCCCCATACTGATATGAATACAGTACATTAACAACACTGCATTGATACACTGCTCCCATACACTGCATTCAACACTATACTCATCTTTGCAATCCAATAACTGATGCATTTGATAAACGGTTCTTTTCAAGTCCCTTTTTAGATGCCAGTCCCACCGGATGCCCCAGTAGGAGCTGCAGTAGGACCTTCAGTGCCTCCCCCAACAACAGAGAGAGTGAAACGAGGGACTCTGGCACACAGCCGAGGCGGAGCTAGATGTACTCATGTCGAGAGCGGTCTAGCATAGCCTATCCCGGAGGATGATGAGATAGATGAGGACGAGGAGCTAGCAAGCCCGCAGTCAGAGTCATCTGAGGGTAGAGGCGACGGCACTAGCTTGGGTTCTAAGGATGATGACGATGCTGAGTATAGCTTCGAGGAGGGAAGCGAAGATGCTGAGGAGGGCTCTGGCTCAGATTCAGATAGTGGCGCCGATGGCGATAACTCCGAGTCCATGCCCAGGAAGAGGACAAAGAGAGCCTCTAGATCCTGAGATGGGTGGCACTGATTTAGATGATTTTTGCTTTATTTCTTTTTACTAGTAGTGTTAGCACATTGTATAGCCTTAGGCAGTTTTATTTTCTTAAAACTTGCACTCTTAGCAAAAAGAAACCATGATTGAAATGAAAACAACTTTTGATTAAAAAGTGTTGTATTTTACATTCTCAGCATTCATCACATCGCACCATTTTTCACAAAAACAGGATTTGATAGAAATTGAAAATTGTATTGGCAATTACTTAATCAGGTAATGAACCAACCAACACATAACAAACAGAGTAAAACAACTCAACGACAAAACGACAACTCAACAATCAAAACAAATACAACTCGATAAACAAAACAACAACTCGATAAGCAATTCAACAAAATTCTTAAAGAGAGACGGAAGAAATGCACCAAGAGTGGATCATAACACAGGTTCTCGGCATTTTCAACACATAGAAGGACTAGAAGGCAAAATAGAAGGCCACCGGCCATAAATAGATGCTGTCGGCCATCAAGAATGGTTGTCAGCCACTAGTACTGGCCGGTCGGCTACCAAAACTGGCCGGTCGGCCACTAGTGCAGAGAACCTCCACATTGCTGCCACCTGTCTTCCACTGAACACCTTATCTCCTACAAAAGCTCCAGCTTCATGATTTCTTCAATTCAGCTCTATTTTTGCCACAAATGGAGCCATTCTTTGCCGAAAAACTCTTGACTTGGATTGCAACTTTAGATGGCTCAGAAAAGTTAAATTTTTGAGGTTTCGGGATAAATGCACTATTCTCGCTGAGTCGTACTCTGCTGTGTTTTCCGTTCCTCCATGCTGCGGCTAGATGTAGAAATCCGGTTACACATGTTTTCAGCTTTGGCAGATAAGAGCTATGCCCCACAATCGAAGAATTCCAAGCTTTGATGGAATCCCGGCGTAACGAGGAAATCTTACCCCAGTCCCATTTTGGCCACATCCAAGCTTTAGGACGGATGTGTGGGCTCACTTTACACGATGCTCGGTTCTTGGTTCACAACGGGAAGTTGGATATTCCCAGCTTGATTCATCGGTTTTCTGATACCGGTGACCGCGACGATCGTCTTTGGCAAGGTTTTCGGCAACATGCCCTCTGCTTGTGTATGTTGGCCCATTTTCTTCTTGCCTTTGGCTTCGGAGGGTCTAGCATTCGCTTGATTGAAGTTTCCCAAGGCTTGAAAGAGGGCAAAAACTGCATTGGCTTGACACTAGCCGAGACTTTAATGGGTTTGGATGCTTTCCACCGCTGAGAGACACCCAGGTTCGCTGGAAGTCCACAACTCTTGCAGGTAATGTTTCCCACCCTTCTCACATGTGTTTCTCACATCACTCGACCCTTAGGCTCTGTTTTTCTCTCAAAACCATTTCTCATTTTTCTCTCCACATATACCTCGCTATTCTTTAATCTCTCTTATTTTGCATCCCTTCCCAGGTATGGCTCATGGATAAGTTGAAAGTAATGGACTCATGACCAACATATTCAGCGCACGGCTATTCCTTTCGCCAACGGCTAGATGGTTTCTTGAACGAGGAGTGATGGTGCCATTAGATGTGCAACAGGTCTGCTGTTGACATTGCTTGGCGTTGCCCCTGGTTTGATCTACCTGAGATGAGCTATAGCATGTCTCGACAGCCTGGCATTCAGCTGATTGGCTTGACACACAATGTCTTCTACTTTCCATTCCGATTCAGGCATCAGTTCGGACACATCAGACTTGCCCAGAAGAAGGGATAGAATACCCAGCTTCATTTCCAATCTGAGGCTCACAGCTAGCTCCATATTCCACTACATGGAGGATAAGAGAACTTCTGGCTCCCGCTCCCAATCCCAATTTCAGTTGCGCCCTTTCTGGCAAATGCACAGCTTGGCTTGAAGACGAGGCACAAACTGGACCCACTTTAGCATCTGAAGCTTCCACAAGCTCCGGGAGGGGAGGCAGGAACACCTGACTTAACTATACCCCAAGTTTATTGCTTTAATCTGTGCTTTCAAGTGTTCTTTTGAATGTAATAAAAAGCAACTTCAATTTGTATCAAGAGTTGGAGAACTCTGTATTGAAATCAATGAAATTGAAGGTTGTGGGTATTGAAAATTTTCTGTTTGGTCGAAAAATGGTCTTGGTTGTAAAAAGATTAATTTGAACAAAATCAACTTTCATTAAAACTTTTCAAAACCATTTTCGATATGGATCACAACTGGACACACCCGAGATCTATTGCTGAGATGTACAACCCCAAATCCAATAACTGGAAAGTTGCCTCTTGTCTGAATAGCACTGCACTGGAGATCACAACCGAACTCTTGGATGTAGAGAAGACAAAGATAACCAGAACAATCACATGGACACAGTTGATTTGGAGGTGTTTACGGCTGGACTTCAAGATGAAGTTGCCTACGTATCCCAAAGATGGGAATCAAGCCTTATGTAGTTCGATTCGAGTTCACTCGGGTGTTAACACTCTCCTTTTGTGCTCTGACTTTTGCCAAGGTCATCATTTTCTGGGTTTTCAACCTTGCGAGCTCAATTTTTCTAATTTCAAATTTTTTGTGCTTTAACTTTTGCCTGGGTCGCCCTTTCAGGTTTTCGGCCTAGCGAGCCACTCAAGGGTAGTATTTCTTTAACTTGTCCATGTTGATTGGTTGGGAGAATTCAAGGCCATCTAAGTCCATAAGAATGACAGCTCCACCTGACCAAATTGACTTGATAATGTAAGGGCCAGTCCAATTAGGTCTGAACTTGCCCCTAGGATCGTGGATGGGAGCTCGGTTGTCTTTGAGCACCAAATCCCCTTCTTTCAGATTCCTAGACTTAACTTTCTTGTTGAAAGCCCTGGCAATTCTGCATTGATAACCTTGGATATGATACAATGCTTTCAGCCTTCTCTCGTCGAACAACATGAGTTCCTCAAACCTGCTATGCTGCCAATCCGCTTCTGCTATCTGGCACTCAGCCATAACCCGTAGTGACGGAACTTCAATTTCAATTGGCAGAACAGCCTCCATCCCATAAACCAGAGAATACAGAGTTACCCCAGTAGAAGTTCGAATTGATGTCCTATAGCCTCAGAGAGCAAATGGCAGCTTATCTGGCTAGTCCTTATAGGTTTCCACCATCTTCTGTAGAATGTGTTTGATATTCTTGTTGGCGGCCTCAACAGCTCTGTTGGTTTGCGGCCGATATGTGGATGACTTATGAAAAGCCACGTTGTATTTCTCCAACAAGTTGATCACTTCCTGCAATAGAGAGCAAATAGAAGCAAAGTAATGTATTCTCAAACAATATATGTACTATTACCCTCCTTATCATTTCTTAAGCTCAAAGGAGTGTAATTCTTGGCTCTCAAGCCACCAACCAAGCATTTTCAATGCATGATGGCCAAAGAGTCAAGCTTGTACAAGTCAATGAATGCACAAATATGACTCAAAGAACCACCACCTTATCACGCATGATCAAGGGTGGCGGTGACCAAGAAACATGACATGGTTCATCACTTTGAGTATGAAACGTCCCACATTTCTTGTGTTTGGATTAACGTCCAATCCAAACACATGCAATGCAACATAACATGCTTATCTTGTCCATGTTTTACTTGTCATGTTTTGTTTACACATTTTACAGTACTGATTAGTCCTTTAACTGATTAAGTCTAATGTGAGAGTCCTCTAATTGGAAAGATGGCCTAAACCACAAGAGCCTTGAGCATGAAAGAGTCCTCATGTTGTTGGTTAGTAGAAACCCTCAAGAGAGGATTAAAACCATTAGGCATGAGAGCCTCAAG